TCTGTATCTGTATGTATAACGTAAGGGATATTTTCATGGTTTTTTTTTTTAACTATAAATATATATTTGCATTTATTTCACTGTTTGGTTCTAACTCTGCTGTTCTTGGAAATGAAAGGTATAGTACCAGGTCCCACAGGATGGGCACTCTTGCTACTGTCTCAGGGGGGCATGAGGAGGGATAGATCCATACCATAAACATTTTAGTAGGGTTACTGTTCTCTCAAGTATTTTAATTAAATAGAACCCCCGGGTGGTGGAAGATGGACAAGAACAGTGTTAAATTTACATTTGAGATATAATTAGAGCTCATGGAGGATTTTTAGCACGGGCTCTGGGAGGGAGCTTGGGGCATGGGAGGGGAGCAGTGCACAGGTTCCCAGCCAGTGGGAGTTATGTTGATAGTGCTCGGGGCAGGGGCAGCACACAGAGCCACCTGCTGCGCTTCTGCCTAGAAGCAGCCGGGACAGGTCGCCGCTTGCAGGGAGCTGCCCAAGGTGAGCAGCCCCTGGATCTGGCACCCTCTCCCGCACCCAAACTCCCTCCCAAAGTCTGTGCTCCACAGCCACTCCTCTACTCCAACCCCCTGTCGGCTCCACGCCAATTGGACTATAAACCAGAATTTCAATGAAGATCAGAAATGCTGGTTTGTAGAGCTTTCTGGTTGGTGAAGTGCCAGATAAAACAGCTTTTACTGTACTTGGTTTAGGATTTAAAAGATTCTCATCTTTTGGATCTAAAATGCCATATCAGGCATAGCCAAGAGAGGATTATATGGATAAGTAACTTTGTTTCCTTCAGTTAAACGCAACATTCTAAGACTAGTACTTTGTAATATTGGAAAACGTTGTTTAAAATTTCCCTCCACCTCTGAACATTCTTTCTAGTTCTGGCAGCTGTATTGAGACCACTCTCTCTATCAAGACTGTGAGCTAGGAACTGCTGGCTTGGATGTTGCGTCCCTCTCAGCATTAGGCAGAGGTTAAGCAACTTTCCTCCATTTCCCCATCTGTAAAATATAGATCTTTACTTGTCTGTTTGGAGGATCATTGTGAGGATTTCACTGCTTATAAAGCACTAAGAAGTTTAAGCATACTACACATAGAGTAATTACAAAATATTATAAGAAGGCAGGTCAAATTTAGGGCCTACATTAACTTATGTCCTTTTATTTAAAAACAAATGCAGCTAAATCAGTGTGGCATAACTGTGGTGGTCCCATTTTTCCATTGTCGGAGTGCGGTGGGTGGAAGAGATGACAACTGTTTTTGTTTGGGTAATGATCTTTTCTTCACCATTCTTCAGTGTAGTAAAAGGAGGCAAGTACATTGTGCTCCTGGGTTGGGTGTGTCTCCATGACTTTGTAAGGCTGTTCTAAATAATTTTCAAAGCATACTTACTTTGGGGGCAGAGGGAAAGCTCCTACAAGAGCTGACTGCCACAGCAGTACTGCGTTTTCTGTTTAATCCGGAGGGCTTTATTTATTTCGCATTGTTGTAGAAAGAGGTAAGATCCTTGCAACAGTTGGCTTATGTTTTTAAATGTGTATTCTTTAAAAATTAGTCTCTGTTCCTGTCAGAAATTGTTACTTCACTATTGAAGAGCTGGTTGTCTCTCTTGGTTGCAGTGTTTGAGATAATCCTCTCTTATCTGGAGAAGAGAAACTGGAAGGAAGCATTTTTCAATGTCTTGCCACCGCGGAAAGGGGCCAGTCCTCTGAGTGAAGCCAATGACTCCTCCAAATGTGAGCTGCGTGAAAAAGAAGCTGGTGAAGATAATAGCTCGGACAGCGACTAGGCAACTGTGGAAGCGGGCAGGAATGTAAAGTGCATGTGGCACAAAGGATAGAAATGAGACATGAGTTAGATGAAACCTCTGAGAACAATCTATCGAACTAGTGGTATTTAATTGTTTAAGTGGCTACACTTGGAAAGGAGTGGTAAAGATAAATGTTGTTTTTACCTTGAAAATACTTCCTTTTTTTCGCTTTTTATAAAGTAAATTAATAGCAAATGCAGAACTTATTTTGTTATGGAAGCTAATATTTATTTTCCTTTTTAAAATATTTTATTTGATACATACAGAACGGTTTTATTTTCTTGAAGCTTGTGATGGAAGCTAATAATTAATATGTTAGTAACTGTCCCTGTTTTGTGCATGTACCCTTGATATTTTATTATTATTCTCTATCCACCCCTATCCTATATTATGTCTTAAAAGCAATGAGTGTCAAAGGTCAATGAATCTAAAAGCTCCTTCCGGCATTGCCTGTTGCGAAGTGTGTATAACTTCTTACCGTCAGTGGGGGCTTTTCTGAGCAAAGAATGGTCTTATAGTCTCTGAAAAAACATTGGGAGCCAAGAACTCTGCTTTGGGCCTGCTTTGGACACTTTTTTTTAAGACATAATTTTTTTAAAAACATCCTCTGTCACAGCAGACCTGCCCTCTCTGGCAGGATTGTGAGTATTTCAAAAAGAGTTACTCTTCTTGCCTCTTGAACTGAAGCTCTCTGTTCTAACTAAATTTTTAAAATAGCCATTTCAGTACTCCTGAAGCAGGCCAAAAGACAGCCTTGGGGGGCGGAAGGTGTCCTTTCACACCAGAGGAGCCATTCTCTCATCCCTTTCTGCAGGGTCTATCCAGAAGGGAGCCAGTTATAGTGTAGCTTTTGGGATGTGGACAAGTATCTACAGAGAGCAATTCTGCAATCATCAATAGACTCCCCAAGAGAATTTGGAGGATAGCAGCTTCTGGTCACTTGTGGCGTGGGCTGGTTTTGAACAGGTGATATAGATGTGACTGGCTCTGTATCCAGATCCAGTCCTCCCTCCACTGTCGCCACTTTCAGACTGGGAGTTGAACTGGAATATGTGTAGATGTACATGTGTCCTATAGTTTTACAGGGTTGGCAACAAGCAAATTATGATTTGACATGTTCAGTGTGATCATTTTAATGCTTTTTTAATATAAATTAATTTTGAGAACTCTTTAGGCAGCCATCTGATAAACTACAGTGAAGATTCATCTGCCTTAGGTCGTGGGCAACAGTTTGTTGCTCAAATAAGATACTGTGGTGGGGTTATTGTGTAGATATGCCAAGAGAAATGTGTTAAATTTTGTCTCTGAACGTGGAGAAACTTCTGGACAAAAGCATTGTCTTGTTTTTGTTTTGAAGAGCCAAAGAAATATACAGCATAAACAAAGTAAAGCACTTGCCAGTACCAGTTTCCTCTGTTAGTAAACAAATGTCTAAAATAGCAAAGGTACAAAGTGTATATTTTACAATTGAGGTATTGCATACTGCTGCACATAGTATTCATTAAATCTGATCTAAGCATTTGAAGTTTCAGTTAAGATTCTTTAATTCTACCACGTGTCTTGTTTCCTTCTCAGATTTGAGCACATTAAAATTAAATGCTACAATTTATTCATGTGGAATTAATTCCACAACTCTAAAAGGTAGTTCTTCTGCATTGTTCTATTGACCAGAACTACTTTTTTTTTTTTTGGTATGGTGGAAGTTATGTTTTTTGTTTTTTAACAACAAAATATATTCTCTGGTCTCTTCACTTGTGTGATTACGTATTAAGCAAGAATTCATTTTTTTAACCCAAAGAAGCTCTGAAATGGACACTTTACAACATCATTTTCTGCAGATAACTTTGAAATATATTCATGTCTTTGTTTCAACATATTACACACTATTTAAAATAATTTCTTTCTTACATTTTCCTCTCTAGTGTGTGTTAGCCACTGCCTCTCTCATTTGGTTTCTCTTTTTTTTTTTCTTTCTTTCCACAAACATATTACCATGTCTTACTGTGTCAAATATAATGATTTGAAAGTGGTTATAAAGCACTCCTCATTACCATTTTTTTAAATAATGAGTTGCATAATGTGCAAATCAGTCATTTGCAAGTAGGAGATGCTTGATCAATGAAATAGAGCAACACAAAATGAAACATTCAGGACTTCTGTTGTGGGCAAAGTGATTCATTTTGGAGAGGACATGTGACTCACAACTTTCCACTAACTTCAGATTTGCACTTTTTAAGACAAGCAACCTAATTTTTCAGCTTGGACAGTAAAGAGTATATAACTCCTAGCTATTTGTGTGTGTTGTGCATCGCAAAGATTGTATGTTTAATAAATCAGCCAAGTTTCCAATAACCTGGGAATAGCTTCCAAGAGCGATGGAGTATAAATACTCTGAGGAATATTAGATTGCAACCTGAGCAATTCATGAAGTGTTCAAAAATGCTTGATGTGAATGTGAGTGTTTTAAACTAATGTAGCAAAATTCTCAATTACTGAGGGACAATCCCCACTCATTGATATATTTTGTTTTCCACAACCAAATCTCTGTACAACTTTTCATGAGTGATGTAGCTGAGTACTGTATTTGGATTCTAATATTTAAACGGAAGTGTTAAATCTATTGACCAAAAGTTGGGTTATTGCTGATTGTGCTCTGTGTATCATATGACTTTTAAAAACAAACTTTGTATTTGTGGATAATCTAAGCACTATACCCAGATGTACAGACACACTTTTCTCAACCTATTTATTACATAATTTTTTTTAACGTTAGCTTTAATAACATTTTTAAATCTGAGCCTTTTCAATCACAGCAGATAGGATCCTGAAGACTGCAGTCTCAGCTGTTCATGTCAGGGACAGTGATAGTTTGAAGATAGGCCATCTCATTTTATTACAGTAGGATGAAATGTGACGATCTCACAAGAATAGTCATAGGAGTCTCCATCACTGCTGTGTCCTGTCTTTTTGAAGGGAAGCCAAGTAACTAAAAGAGCAGGTGCTCAAGGGCATGGAGTGAAAGGGGGACTTGGAAGACATGCACACTTTCTTTAGCTTAGGAAAATTTCATCATAAAGCATTAGTATTAGGATCAGTCAAAAATTTAGATTATATCTAATGGCTTGTCACTAATATGTTAAAGGACTATTTGACCTGTTAAATATATTTATTGGAGCACTTATGCTAAATGTGTGAGTGTACATATCTCGCAACTTACCTTCAGTGAGAGAGAGAATGGGGGGAGACTAGCTTTGTGTCCTTATGCAAATGCAGTAAGTTACAGATGGTATTGGGGAAAAAAACTTAGAAAATGTTGTTGATGTCTTTGTAAACCAACACACTTCCCTCTCTAATATATTTGCTCAATAACCTACCAAAAGCAGTTTTAGAGGAAAGTTAAGCATGCTGTTGAAAGGACACATTAGCATTGTTGCCATCATTTGTTCAGTAAGGACTCTCATACTCAGATTGGGCTTGTTCTACTGTTCTTCAAACTGACTTTGTATCATTTACTTTAAAGAACAAAGATAAGCAATGAAACAAGGTATCAATCAATCAAGAGATTTCAGTTGTTTTCCCTACATCCTTAACTTGCCCTGTTGTCCTTTTAGTTCGTGGTTCTCAAACTTTTTCCTGGTATGTACTGCATCTTAACAGTAGTGAGCTGCCTGGATCAACTGTCCCATTCAAGACACCTGTCCTCCTCCCATTCACTGTAGAATAATGCTCCTGGAGCAACACTAGCAATTGCTAACATGGAAAATTAGTATTAATTTAAACTATTTTAAATTACTCCCTTTCTTTTCAATGTGACTTAGTAGGCGCAAACAAGGAGCGAGCGATAGCATCATGTAACCATTCAGTTGTTTTGTTAACCAGGGGGCCGCAGACCAAAGGTTGAGAACCTCTGGCCTAGATCTTTTAGTGAACTGACAGGATTTGACATGTTCCCAATATGACCACACGAGACTTTAGCGCTAAGGTTGCTGCTTAGTTCTTAATGCACTCTTTTTTGCTCTGACAAGTATGAATGGGCACCATGCTATCATAACAGATAGAAATGATTTTTGGTCAGGATAAGAACTTGCAGAAGGGAATTCTAAATATTGTTAGTTATCAGCTTAAATTTCCCTGAAAGGGCGTGGCACAGCACTAGTAAAATTTTCAAAGATTGTCACTCTTCATGAAGGAGCATGTCCCAAGGCATAGCTGAATAATCTTACTGTGGAACTATAAACTGGAGTTGGCCAAAAAGTAGGGATCACGTTTTTTATTTTGTTTTGCAAAACTTAGGTGGGTTGGGGTTTGTTTTTTGCATAACCAAAAACAGGTGTGACCTCTTATCCAAACATGCCCAAAAGGGTGGGTTAAGGTAAGATTTCAGTAAATGGTTCCAGTATTAGATAGGCTGCGCTTGCCACCATTTCTGTGATCTTGGGTTTATTTAGTTGGTTTTGTTGGGCATTTTTGTCCACCCTTTCTTTCCCCACATTCCCCTTTCCCCCCACCCCCAGTGTTAAATACATGACACTTCTCAGCTATTGTGAGAGGAATTGATCTAGATAATTGCTTGCTTTCTGCAAAAAGAGTGTGTCATTCTACCTGCAGTCATGCCTTTCCTAGTGAACTAGGACTGAAAATTTAGGGTCAGCTTTTCAAAACCTGGTGCATGACTTGCACCCTGCAAAACATACATGTGCCCATGTACCTCTATAATTACATGAGCAGATGGTGTATCCACACACAATGTGTCTATTTGTGGGCCTGACTCCTGTGCACAAATGTGTGTATACATGCACATACTTGTTAGGGGCAAATCAGCTGCCAAACTTAAATTTGTTGCCTGAGGTTTTTGATCAAGTTGCTATCCTGTCTTACGGTGTCATGTGCTCTACTCTAGAATGTAGAGAAAAAGATTCGTTCTGTGGGTTACAACAGCTAAAGGTGTAATCAAGGTGTAATGTAGTACTGCCCAGTTGCTGTACAATGCATCGTTTCAGAGAGGCTAGAAAGCATAACATCAGTGGATGTTCTCTTCACTTGATGTGCCAAGTTAATAGCAAATTTAGGTTTCCTTAAAGATGAAATGCCTGTGTTAAGAGTCTTGCAGGGTAGATGAAACATCTTATAATTTACAGTTCTCTTAACCTTACTTGTATAGGCATTTTGAATGAAGAGCATATCCAAAAGCTTCCGGGGAAGTCATTCTGTATGTACTTTTCAGTGGTTTTTGATGAAACACTTAGGGACTAAACGAAATTAACACAAGTTTGTTTTTAAAGGGGGAGCCAGCTCTAGGTAGGTTTTTAATTATTGTTGCTAATAGTACATATGGTAATACTTGAAGGGAACAATTGTGCTGTTTCAGAAGCTTTGAAGAGGAAGTTATTCTCTGGCAGTAAGACGTCTCTGATCAACGGGTAACTTGCTGTAGCGAAGGTGGGGCTTCTGTCGGAGTGCTACGGAAGGACTGTGGCTCGTTCCTTGGGAGCTGGAGGACCTTCCTCTGTGTACATCTTTGAAAATTGGGATTGTAAATCTCTCCCCTCTTGTGGACAAATGACCATCTCTCTCCCTTTCTGGAAAAGATTTTTGAACAATAAAGCTCTATACCACACTAAGCTTAGGCTTTGTTTTTCAATGTTTGTTTGGCTTTTACCATGTGTTTCTGGTAGCATTATGAAAATAGTAGCATGGAGGGTCTCCAACTGGATGACTCTTTGAGAAGATAAAATTGTTGGTCTCTGAGAAATTACAAAATTCCTTCCCTGGTTTCCCTTCTCATCGCTCCCATGTAAAGTCTCCTCCCACAGCTATTATAAACTATGTACTTTCACTCACTATAGAATGATAAAAGAAAAGGAGTACTTGTGGCACCTTAGAGACTAACAAATGATCGTACAGTAGTACTTTTGAACCAGTGTAAAGAGAGTGTACTCCCCCTTTTTTGGGGTCAAACTCACTATATCCAGGGGTGCTAATACAGGTTACTGCTAGCACAGTCTCATGATCACATAAACCACTCAGACTGCCACTTTCTTGTAGAAGGGGTAGTCTCCTTCTTGAGACTGTTGGGGGTTTCTCAGCTTGTGCTGCTTTGTTAACCTTTACTGCACTCCAGATGTAGGACACGTGGAAGATGGTGGTCTGAGGGAGGTGAAGCTGTCTGGGTAGGGGCTGCAAATGTGTCTTAGATAGCTGAGGGAGACTAACTAGGAAAGCATGTTTTATTTAGAGGGCGAGGGGTGGCTAGGGACAACGAGGAAGATGTGCTGGTTGATGGTGAAAGGCAAGGTGGAATCCAAAGACTAGTTGACAGGAAGAGTTTGGCACATGCCTGAAGAACAGCAGGAGGTTTTGACTGTGTGGAGAAAGGAAATCAGGAGAATTTACAGAAAGGTCAAACCTCATGGAGGTAGTTGAAGTGATTGTCAGCAACTGCAAATAAGTATACTTTGTACTGCTTTGTTACTGTGGTGTAGTCTCTGGGGAAAGTGATACATGAATGCTCTGTCTAGAGAGGCTGAATCAGTGGTGGTAATAAAAAGCAGAGATTCTCAGAAATCTAACTCCCAATGAACTTGACATACTGTTGTATTTTTCATACTGCCATTGAATTCTCTTCATCCCAGTGTAGAAATAGACTCTAAACTGTTCAAAATTTTCAAGGATCTTACATACAAAACCTCAAAGTGCAACACGTCTGCTCTATGGCATTGAGTACATTTCTAGCTGTATAGTGTCCTAGAATTTAGAATTTCCATCACCTACCTTGTTCCGTTCCTTTACTTGCTTCTGATGCTTTACTTGAAGGCCTGAATAGAACAGGGAGAGCTTATAAAGCCACAAAAAAAGAAACAGCAGGGATTTTGTGTGAGCTGCAATATGCAGCAATGGCTTAAAGGGTTCTTTGGCACCTGTAAACCTTGGCACTGCTCCCGTTGTATAACTGTGTACCCAAGAATGGAATCGCTTCTAGCTAGCAACATTTTCGATTCAAGCTCTAGCTGACAAGCGTTAATCACAAAACCAAGGTTTTCGCAATTAACATTTTTAAATATAATTCCATTCTTCATTTCTATTCTAAATTCGCTGACTTTTCTGCATGAAAAGTTTCTTGCAAAAACCAGTCTGACTTGGTGAGTTAATTTCTTTAAAGAACAATTGAATAATACAAACAAAACAGCTCCTAGGTCTACAGGCATAGTCAGCAACAGATGTACAGAACATATTACACACTGAAGATTCATAGCCCTGGCTCACCTCTGGTAGTAAAAGGCATATCTCTTCCCCAACACCTCATTTATTTGTTACTGATGACTGTGGGTAACGATGAGAAAAAAAGACTTTCAGGATTTAGAAGCAGAATAATCCTTTGCCCCAGGTAAATGATCTGGATTTGGGGGAGTTTTGAAATAGGAACATGTACATTTTCAAATATCTCTTGCAGAGCTTTATATAGTACCTTGCCAATGCATGAAAAAGTTACAAAACCTATTAAGCTTTTAAAACAAAAAAAACTCTGCTCAATATGAAAACGTGTTTTCTCCATCCTAATTAGCATGGAGTGAGCCAAATTCAAATTGAATGTTTGGGGGCAATGGTGAAATGCCTGACTAATTGTGAGTTCTTTTTGTTCGCTCTCTTAGGCCCCAATCCTGCAAAGGGGCACAAAAGTAACGTCACCTGTGAGCAGTCTGCCTTCAGCGGAGCTACCCCAATGCATAAATTTTAAGCACATGTGTAAGTGTTTACAGGCCTGGGCTTTTGTTTCTAATTGATATCAGAATCCGCCTCTGTGGTAATATTTCAATACTTCTGTTCTTCGCAACATTTCTGCCAGGACTAGAAGTAGAGAAGCACCTGAAATCTGGAGGAAGAGAGAGAAATCGTTCTCTCAAGATTTGCAGCTTAAATTTGCAGACATCAGCGCTTTAGGTAAGTTTCAGAAAATCATTCAAAATTTGAATCCTTCTGCTACAATGAACATGAACTCCTAACTTTTTGAGTTTAACAAATCCCTGATCCTTCCAATATTAAAGCAGACTTTACCTGAACTTGTTCGCTTCTTCTCTTGGTTCTGTCCAAGGGATATGGGAAGGCTTCATTGTATCATGGACATTCAAGTTCTCCACTGCACTTTCTTTTGGTGTATTTTGCCGATAATTCAGCAAGTCCCTGCTAGTCATCTCTGAGCGAATCAAATTTGATACAAACTCTTTCTCTGAAACATCAAAAACCATCAGAAAAAACTTCCTTTGAAAGAGGTTGCTTTAAAAAGAAATTGAGGAAAATGGAAAATTTCATTAAAGGCTATATTAAATCAATTGGATAACTTCTAATAGAAATCTGAATTGTATGTAAATATGCACAGCTTCATTTTTGTATAGTTCATGGCTGCTAGACTGTTTTTATTAACAAACTATAATTGTTGGATTTTTTTCAGTTAAAAAATGCTGGAAAGGGATTTCCAGTTATACAATGACAGTAGTTGCTCTGGTTTCAGAGGAACAGCCGTGTTAGTCTGTATTTGCAAAAAGAAAAGAAGTACTTGTGGCACCTTAGAGACTAACCAATTTATTTGAGCATGAGCTTTCGTGAGCTACAGCTCACTTCATCAGATGTATACTGTGGAAACTGCAGCAGACTTTATATACACACAGAGAATATGAAACAATACCTCCTCCCACCCCACTGTCCTGCTGGTAATAGCTTATCTAAAGTGATCAACAGGTGGGCTATTTCCAGCACAAATCCAGGTTTTCTCACCCTCCACCCCCCCACACAAATTCGCTCTGTGGTTAAGATTGTGAGGTTTCCGCTATATATCCAACTTTAACGCTGTAGGGAGAAGAGGATGGGCAAAGTCATATCTGCCTCCAAATTGGTTAGGTTGAATTTTTCTACAAAAACATGAAGTGGGCTGAAATGTTTAGCAGAGTTGAAAAACTATACCACTTGCTATTTTGTTTCTTAAACTCATAGCTTACATAACTCTCTTCCTTCCAATAGCCATTGGACATCTTGCTCATTCAAGCCCCTTTGATAACTGATTTAGGCCTATGCCTAGCTAACAGCCCTAGCCAAGTTCCCTGAGTGGGCACCTCCAGGTGAGAAGCCCCTAAAAGCAGAATTAAATCAATTTATAGCAGGGTTGGCTAAATAAAGAAGTTGGATGGCATTATGATCGTCCACAGGTAGGGTAACTATCCGTGAATAGTAATAACACATGACTGGTCGTCATTGTGCTGGCATAACAGTGTCATTAAGCAGGTGCTGAGGCTAAAGCCAAAGAATGAGTGCTCTGAGCACTTGTGAATCGGTACCGTAGCAGTGTGATATACACACTTTCCCGTTGGTGTGGTTTTTTGCTTTTGAGCAGTGTGTTTCAGGGGCCTTTCCAACTTACGGATCAACTTCTACTGCCATCATTGAGATATGATCCTTCTTAGGAAAGATGTACCTTTCAAAAAGAATAATTCAACCAAGACTGTTGTGGGAAGGGCATGCCGTCAATGATACCCTAGTCATCAAAACTGCTACCCCTAGTCCAACCACACTTAACCAGATTCTGCCCTCATTTTCATCTTTGCAGTCTCGCTAATTCAATTCAGGGGGAACTCCAAAGGTATTCCATGAGTGTAAGGGAAAGCAGAAAATGACCTTGTGATTAACTGGGGAAATGTGTGTTGTTTATATTGTGTGACTCGGTTTCCTTGTTCAATTTTGTATTGCTTCCTTGCTGAATGCATAGAGCTAAATCAAATGAGGCTGTAAACGGGTTGTTGCAGAACTGAACAGGAGAAGTGAAACAATAACACAAATAAGAAGTCTCTCACATACCCATCTTCAAGAAAGTGAAAAAAATAATGACTGGACTACCAGTTAGTGGAGAATTTGCCTGGCTGGCTCAATTCAGGCTAGGATGGTTTAGTCTTCCCAAGGCTAAGCCTCAGATCAAAAGACCCTCACTGGTTTAAAAAAGTGCCCCTGGCAGAATTTTTTCTCGGGGGGGGGGGGTTGAGCTGATGGAAGCTGGTCAGGATGTGTCAGTGGAAAAGCTGACAGATGGGAGGACTCACTCAGAGCCAGAGGGAGAAGCAAGCAGGTTAGGGTGTTTCTCCCATGTAAGAGATGTGAAGGAAGCCAGACACTCCTACACTATGGATAGAGTGGCTAAGCTTAAGGAAGGGAAAATGCAGTTAGGTCTTTGTTGTTTTAAGTCTGTTTCTCTAAGCACTGTGTACCTTTTAAGCAAAAGAAATGATGTTCTGTTTTGAAAAAGCTGTGTCTGTCTCATTGCAAATGTGTGCAGTCTTAAGCTCCCAAAGAGAAATCTTTGCCTAGCGTAACCCCAGCTGGACTTGCTGAATTAGTCACAGTTAGAAACCAGGGAGCTGTAACCCGAGTCCTGGTCTGAGAGTGTGTGGATTGTGGAGTTCCACCCACAAGATGTAAAGGCCTGACACCTGTGGGGTTGCATGTGGTGAGACCATAAGAAAGGATAGTAATGCAGTTATCTAGGTAACTGTGATATGTCAATTATTATTTTAACACACACGCACATTTTACCTCTTATACTTGCCCTTGACAGCCACTCTTGGATCTCTGCAAGGGAGTCTGTCTGTAGAATGTCACGGAGTTTTTCCAAGACCTGGAAGAAGGGCAGTACAATTATGACTAAAAAGGGGTGCAGATATGCCAGACAGTTTTATAGTAGGGCAGTCAAACAATTAAAAAAATAATTGCGAGACTTAAAGAAGTCTAAATTAATTGCAGTTTTAATCACACTGTTAAACAATAATAGAATACCAATTTACAAGTCCACTCAGTCCTGCTTTTTTCAGCCAATCAATAAGACAAACAAGTTTATATTTACGGGAGATAATGCTGGCCACTTTTTATTTACGGTATCACCTGAGAGTGAGAACAGGTGTTCATGTGGCACTGTTGTAACCAGCGTTGCATGGTATTTACATGCCTGATATGCTAAACATTCATATGCCCCTTCATGGCTCGACTTCTGGGGGCTAAAGTTTTACCCTGTTTTGTTTTTCAATGCAATTATGTTTAAAAAAAAATCTACGTTTGTAAGTTACACTTTCGCAGTAAAGAGATGGCACTACAGTACTTGTATGAGGTGAACTGAAAAATACAATTTTTTCTTTTTTTACAGTGCAAATATTTATAATCAAAATAATATAAAGTGAGCACTACACACTTTGTATTCTGTGTTGTAATTAGAAAAGGAGGACTTGTGGCACCTTAGAGACTAACCAATTTATTTGAGCATAAGCTTTCGTGAGCTACAGCTCACTTCTTCCGATGAAGTGAGCTGAAGCTCACGAAAGCTTATGCTCAAATAAATTGGTTAGTCTCTAAGGTGCCACAAGTCCTCCTTTTCTTTTTGTGAATACAGACTAACACGGCTGTTACTCTGAAACCTGTGTTGTAATTGAAATCAATACATTTGAAAATGTAGAAAAGCATCCCAAAATATTTACAATAAATTTAAATTGGTATTCTCTTGTTTAACACTGCGATTAATCACAACTATTTTTAATCTAGTTAATTTGTCTTGCATTATCGCTTGCGTTAACTGCAGTTAGTTGACAGCCCTACTTTATAGCATTAAACTGTTTACAATTTTTGCCTGTTTCGGTCCAGTTGTGAAATTGTGCAAAATTTTAGTTGTGCAAACTGCTCAGAATGAAATTGCACAGTTTTGTGCAGCCCGAGTAGACAGACATTCATACTGTGCAATGAGGAGAGCACCGTCTATACAGCACTGCAGGGGAACTGGAGCTTTGGGGAGTATGCCATGTACATGGCATTGCAGAGAGCACTGATTGCAGATCAGGTAACTACTACTCTGCTCTATCCACTTCTGACATTTCCAATGGGAATACTGTATGAGGCTTCCAGTCTGGCCGGGGCAGCTCCCTAGGAACTCCCAAAATAACCTCTGAATACAAATTAACAGGTCAGCTAGATACAGGCAGCAAGAATTGAAACCTCCAGGCGCCCCCTTCTGGGAAATGGAAACATAACACAAAAGGAAAAGGAGGACTTGTGGCACCTTGGAGACGAACAAATTTATTAGAGCATAAGCTTTTGTGAGCAGTGAGCTGTAGCTCACGAAAGCTTGTGCTCAAATAAATTTTAGTCCCTTAGGTGCCACAAATACTCCTTTTCTTTTTGCAGATACTGACTAATATGGCTTCTACTCAGAAACATAACACAAAAGGTTACCACTTACTACTTATATCTTACTTTTATTTCCTGATCCAGATAGTTTGGAACATAGTTTATATTCTCTCTGACTTCTGGCTTGTAATGCATAAAACGGGCTGGAGAAGAGGGACGGGTAAGAGAAGAAGGATGGATCTCATGGCCAACTGCAGTCAGAGGACGACCTGGTTGTTTTTTCAAAGGATCTTCCTAAGTAGAAAGTAAGGTATGCAAGGATTCAGCAGATACCAGTTACACAATTAAAGTCTAAATGAAGACGTACCCAATCTTGGGTTCCTAGAAGCCAATGATTATTTTACCATTGGCTTCAATGGGAGCAGAAACCATCGCTAAAACTGTTAGAGATTCCATGCAACAGGACCACAAAAAAGGAGAAATACTTAATAATTTAGTCTCCAATCACTGGTCACAATAGGTGCAGTGCCCCAATATGTCCAGATGTTGGTGCCATAGACCCAGATCCACAAAGGGACTTTGTTGAGTTAGTTGAGGCAGCCAAGCAGGGATTTTGTGGATCACAGTGGTGCCCAAGATTGGGGCTTAGGTGCCTAAAACTGTGGTTTAGACACCTAAAGAGCTCTGTGGATATAGGTCATAATCCTTAAATCTGGATTTTTCTTATTCAAAAAGAAAATCTCTGTGGATGTGAGTCATTGTAGGCAAAGTTTTGCCTTCAAGTACCTGTTATGGGAGAGTTATAAACTCCGGAAAAAGCAGGGATTTGAAAAAACACTTTAAGCGAACTGGTGAGAGGAGATCAGGACTCCTGGGTTCTGTTCCCAGCTCTGACCCTATATAGTGTTGGGTGAGTCACTTAACTTCTCTGTATCTCAGTTTACCAATCGGTAAAAAAAATGGATGTACTATTGCACTTAACAGGATGTTGTGTTTGTAAAATGCTTTGGGGATCTTAGAAGAAAGGTGCTCTAAGTGCAAAGTATAAAAAAAATTGAATTGTTAACTGTAGCAGATTATTGAGCACGGCTATAAAAAAACCCTGACCTCTTGTATATAATGCAGCACATGCTCAGACTCTTAATTAGTTTAAATTATTGACATAAAAATGCTGAAGAATGAAAAGTTAGACATTATATATATCTATAAATGAAAAGTTAGACATTAGAAGTTGTATATTAGAGATGAAACCACATCATTTAAAAGCTCCCTCCTCTACTTGCTTGATGTTTGTGATCCCTTATTTTGGGTCCTTGTCATATTTTAAAGGCCACAGTCTGTGTTGTACAGTTGCTCTCCCTGGCAGTTTGAGAGCTATGAGTGGATGTACAGAACCTAGGTGCTGAGGGCACAGAGCTGCTATGAATAACTGCAAATCTTTCTTTACCTTTCTCAGTAAAGCAAGGGAGTCTCTTGTCCTTTTAGAGAACTCAGCCATTTCTTCTCTCCCAGGCTCTGGAAATTAATACAGAAATGTGTTTTCAGTTAGTTTATGTTGAAATCAAGACAATAAAATTCAATTTTAACAGTCTGTGGGGTTAGCAAAATCATGGCTACTCACGTGAACTTGGTCGTGATGGACCTTTCCCAATGTGTGGATAAGCCTGGAGTCTTAGTGTAATGCTGCTAGAAGATGGCATGCCCACGCCTTGCCCAGTTAGCCCATGTTGCTGATCATATTCTTGCTGTGGGATTAGGATTTTGCTGGCAGCCTGGTGTGGTCTTGAAAGACTCCCTGCATCTCTCACAACGCAGACAGGTGCATTATTTAACCCTGGAGGAGAGGCGAACACAGATGCAAACTTTATCCCCATAAACAATCTTCTGCAGACCATCTCAGGGTTAGGGCCTCTGCTGGGTGGGTGGAGGCTGCAGCTACCAAAACTCATTGATTTTTGTGTGGAGTGAATTTAGTGCCTGTGAAAAGGAGAAGGTATACAGTACCAGAATATGTGCTACACTGAAAGGAGAGTGCCAGCATCTCCATGACTCTTATACTAATCCAATAGGCCTTAATCATGACTCTGGATCCTCTGCTTGGCCCCTCACAACCTGCTCTGGCAGAGACCAAGAATGCTGCAGAAGGTGTGTGCACAGCCCTTGTGGGGAGTGGACACCTCGTGTCCTTTGAGAAATGACTCTTCTAACTGATGCTTGAAAAGAGATGCTTTGATAAGTTCTGCATCCAGCCCTTTCTAGGTGGAGAAAGGAGGTATTTATATTTATATTGCTTGATAATGCTGGCAGGACTGGCAGGTTCTGTGCAAGTTTTCTCTGCATCTCTAATAGTTCTGTGTGTTGCTCTGGGCTTCTTCTCTTAGCAGGCCACTCTTGGAGCTTGTCTGCATGGGCAAGTTAGTGCACAGTAAGCTAGGGAGTGAATTTAAAGCACACTGAGTGCTCTTGGGTGGCTTATCTTAATGTACTCCTAAATCATTAAGCTACTGTGAATGAAGGTGAGAAATAAGTGTGTCCACACCGTGAGCTAGTGCAGAGGGGCTAGTGTGCACTAGGTATTCCGCACTAGTTACTGCAGACTTTTCCCCTCATATAGACAAGCCCTTATAACCCACTGAGATTTGCTCTGGATTCCCTTATGTTTTTAAGTTGGTATGAAACCAAAACCCCAAGTGTAGCCCTTCGAGGCCAAGCCTGGGTAAACGGAAACCACCTGTTGTCCCCCAAAACAGACAAACTTAAATCAGTAGGTTTTCCACAGTTCTGCAGTTCTGTGACCCTTCAAACCAAGTCTCTGCTTATGTAGCTAAAGAAGCCACTGCTAGCACAGCTGGCAGAGGGAACTAACGTTTAAACATTTGGATAATAGATATCATCTATTCCAGTAGAGGGCAGAGGAACACAGTCAACTGGTAATCAAGTGATGATGATGATGTCCTAACTGCTTTCCTTTCTTTCCCCTCAGGACAACTGTCCGATAGAGCAATTCAAATTTACTTTACAGGGATTAATAGATAGCAAATGTTAATAGACAGCTAAGTATTAACCATGGGCCTGCCTGCAGGCCTCCTCTCCTTGGATGAGGGATGCGACAGTTACAGTGTTGGGCTTTCTAATTAATGGGTCTATTTTTTATCTTTCAGATGCCATTGGGCACATCTGTTTTTCTTCTATAAACTTATTTCAATAACTTGTGTGTCCCGCTTATCTCTGTGCAGATTCAGAGAGTTCAGGGCCAGAAGGGCCATTCGATCATCTAGTCTGGCCTCCTGTATATCACAGGCCATTACATTTCACCTGGTTACCCCTGCAGTGAACTCAGTAACTTGTGTTTGGCTAAATCATGTCTTCTAGAAAGGGATCCCTCTTGAGCTGAAGATAGCAGAAGATGAAGGCGCTGCCACTTCCCTTGGGAGGTGTGTTCCAATGGTTAATCACTGTCACTCTTCAAAAAAATTGTGCCTCATTTGTTGTTTGAATTTGTCTGGCTTCAGCCTCCAGTCACTGGGTCTTGTTGTATCTTTCTCAGCTAGATTAAAGAGCTCTTTCGTGCCTGGTATTTTCTCCCTATGAAGGTACTTACGCCCTGGAATCTAATCACCTCGCAGTCTGTTTTTTGATAAACAAAAGAGACGGAGCTCTTTAAGCCTTGCCCTGTGTGTCCCTAATGCAGCTGATCTCCCAATCTTTTAAACACATGCACACTTCAAAGTTGACTTCACTGGGACTATGCGTGTAATTAAAGTTGAGCAAGTCTGTAATTATTTGCAAGATCAGGGCCTTATAGATTTTAGGGCTTCAGAGCAGTTTTCATTTTAATTCCATGTGTTAAACTTACAACATTCCAAAATGTGTGTCTTTTGGGCTGAAATTTTCCATGATTGTTCCCTGCCAGAATGTGACTGTCAAGTAAAGGTAGGAGCAAGTCCCTTCAGCTAGGTTTTTAATTATCAAAGAATGAAAAATATTTTTCCATAGTAAAAAATAAATTAAAAAAGTAAGCACACTTTTTATCAAGGTTATAGCAAAAACAATGGGTTTATTTTGTGGAGAACTGGGAAACTTCTCATATATTTTCTTATGAAAAATGTGTGCCTGTTTCCATTCCCACCACTTCAGGCTTTGTATGGTTACCTTCCCAGATGTGAATGGATTGATTTTTTTTTTTTTTTTTTTTGAAACCAGACAATCAAAGACAAAACAAGACTGTGGGGAAATCATCTAGCATGAATGAACTATCAGGAATTAAAATCACTGAGGTTAATTTATTGCAAATCTCTCGACCAGTGGTTCTCAAACTTTTTTTCATGGACCACTTGAAAATTGCTGAGGGTCTCGGCGGACCACTTAATGCTCTTTCCAAATGTTTTTTGTACTGTTAGCTAATTATTGTAAACCACTTTGTACAAAAGCACTACATAAAAAAACCTTAATAATTAACATTTTTTTGTTCTACAAATAAAAGCACACAACTCATATTTTAATATCAGTACTCTTACCTTTCTAATGTGTTGGGTGTGCCCTTTCTCCCCCACCTCAGCAGCTCCTGAGCTGGGGCTGGGAAGGAGGCCCGGGGGGGTGATCTCTTCCTCTCTCCCCCGCCACAGCAGCCCCCGAGCTGGAGCTGGGAAGAAGGGCCATCTCTGCCTGGCAGCCGCAGCCCTGGAGCTGTGGAAAGTCACCTCTTTTTCTGGCCACCTCAGCCCTGCACGTCCCAAATTCCTCCCACTCCCTCTTCTCACCCCACTGCCCCCTCCCACCTATCCCCTATTCCCCCCAAGGCCACCACCTCACCTTACATGTGCCTCTTCTGCAGGTCCACGCACCTAATTAGTGGAGCCACACCTGTGCGACTCCACTAATTGGGTGGGTGGCCCTTCATTGTTTTGTGTGCGGCCACCCAGGCACGCACCTTAGAGGGAACTATCCGCAGATCACCTGAATGGCGCTCACGAACCACTGGTGATCCACGGATCAGAGTTTGAGAACCTCTGCTCTAGACAGATAAACATGTCTGGAGAAGTAACACACCCTGGGGGGAATTGCATCTACTGATTTGACCGGGCTCAAGCGGCCCAGCAAACAAAGAACAGAGAATTGTATAAAATCCAGCCTGATACAGAGGCGGGTTCACTCTCACTTGATGCAAGAACTAATAGGACACTGTGACCTAGAAGGACAAACCCCACCAGTGGGTTTAAAGGACTTTGAGACCTATCAGGGTTCTGTGTGGTTGATAGGTGTTACTTGGTAGTGAGCATGTAAGCTGTTTATTGTTTTATGGCATGTTTTCTGTGTCATTCTTTTGTTCTGAATACACACTTTCCTTTCTGAAGACTGGCTGGCCCCTGGTTAACCCTGTCATTGCCCCGGAGTGAGAACAGAATGGCTGTTGCTGAACTAAACTCAAACGCATTAAAGTGATCACAGTGAATTGCAGGAGGAATTGGCGCATGCACTGTACATTCACCTCAATCCGTCAGGTGCTGACAATGCACAAGAGAAGAACAGGACAGGTTTCATTTGTCTAGACACTGGATGCCTGTGCTGCTGGCAACACCATGGCACTTTTCAATAACGGAGACATCTATGAGAAAATTGCACAGGGGAAAGGAGTATGACAGGGGTCAGCAGCAGTGCCATGCGAAAGCAAAGGAACCATGGCAGGCACCACAAAGACACTCAGAAATACCGATTTTTAAAAAAAATAAACCTCCGAATATATTTAAAATACAATTTGCAGTATGTGTGCATGATATATGGGGGGAAATCCTCCTCCTGGTGTGAATTTTAAGAATGCTGTTGTGACTGAGGTGGGAGTGCCCTGTAATAAGTATGGATCTATGAAAAGTTGATACCTGTGTCTTGAGTGCTTGGGAATGGGCTGAGCGCCATCTTTTAAATTTAAAAGTTAAAGGAAAAAGCTATGCAGATGCTTACCCGAAGTCCCTTCCCCTTCATCAGGCTTGTCTGAACTCCACTGGCGGGATTGGCTAGATTGTGTTGGAGTCTCAAATAGGTCATGGCTGGAACCCCGCACCGAATCTCCCTCTTCCTTCCCGTTCATGGCGGGTGGTCTGTCTTGAGCTCCGCTGAGGTATCCAGAGTGGTCTGCAGGGTGCTGATGGGGCTTCTGTTAAGTAAGGCATGCCACTCATAAAAGTGGCAGGTCTGCAGCTCCGCACCAGATCAATTGTTGCTCTCCCTGGCCTTGTGGTATGCCTGCCACAGTTCCTTGGTTTTCAAGGGGCACTACTACTGATCCCTGTCATACCCCTTTCCCTGAATCCCCAGGGCAATTTTTTCATAGATGTCCACGTCTCTGTGACTGGTCCATAGGTGTGCTTTCACAGCCTCTCCTCCCCACAGGCCCAGGAGATCCAATATCTCCTATCTATTCCAGGCAGGAGTGTGTCTCATGCCTGGAGCCAGCATAGTCATTGGGCAGCGGCGCACACCGGAGAGCTGCTAGGTGCGCTCACCCAGGTAGGTAACCAGGAAAAGATGTCCCAAAAATACACAGGGGGGCTAACAGGAGGGTTGTGGTTTCTGGGCTTCATGTCCCCTGGGCAGTGGAGTTTACAACTGTGACCAGAGTGGTCACTGTCGCAGGGCGTTGTGAGGCAGCTGTTGGAGGACTGTTAGGGTCGATTCAGGTAAAGAAGTGTCTATGTTTGCACTGTGTTGACCTCAGTGCGTTGACCGTGGTTCCATGCCGTCTGGGGAGGTGGTTTTACTTTGCCGTAATGGTGCACTTAGGTTGGCCAGAGACAAATTTGTGTGGACGCTCTGATGATGGCAGACCAGCCCATGCCA